GAAGAGCTGTATGCTATCACGGAAAACGTGGCATACGCCTTGAAAGCGTGGCAGGATGAGTATATAGCGATAGAGAAGCTGCACAAGCTGGCGACTCGCCATAACGCCAAGCCAACCAGCGACCCGAGGAAGTTGCAAAGGCCTCAAGTATTTGAGGATAAGAAGGAAGCCATGCTCTACGGCTACAAGTACGAGGCCAAGGAGGATAAAGTGGGCAACCAGAACCCATTCACGCAGGGCGGGTTCAAGCCAACGCCCGCTCAATCCCGAAAGATGATGAACAAGATTGGACCCAATAATCCTAACCCGGATGGCTGGCGCACCATCGTCAAGTTTGGAGTCGAACACGTGCCGAAGTTCCAAAACCCGCCCCGCGAAGAATTTGTTGGCAAGGCAACGCGCAAGCGCAAGGCCGCAGAGTTGGAGGCGGCTAACCGAGAGTTGGCAGCGTCTGGCTCCGAAGAGCCCACTATTGAGACACCAGCTCAGACCGACACGGAAGAGTACGGCCCCAAGCGGCGCACGCGTGGCCGTCGCCCTGGCACCGAGGTCGACGAAGCCCAGGCATCCGCGACACCCCCTCGAGGTGCGGTTCGGGGACGTGGAAGTGGCCGCGGCCGCGGTAGAGGTGCAGCTCGTGGAGGCGGAGTCATTGCTTCGACGGAGGTATATCAGCCGGTGGCTGCTGCGACCTCAGCACCACGACCATCATCTGGACGGGGCGAACATGTCGCCAGCTCCCTTCAGGCACGGCCTGCCACTGCCCAGTTGCCGCCGATCGAACCGGCACCGAGTGGTACGACGCCTACGCCTCCCGCAAGCATACAGCCCAGCAGCACGCTGGAGGATGGGATGGATCCCGCTGAACAGGCTCGGCGACAGAAGATTGCCAACTCGAAGAACCCGAAGCGAACAGAGGCCATGCTTAACCACTGGGCGCGTTTCAACCGCGAGGGTCGGGTGCGCAATCCCAAACGATCCAAGGCTCAGATCGAGGCCGACCGCGCAGCGGAGGCTGCCCGGAAGGCATCCGAGCCCCCAAAGCCGGGAAAGATCAAGAAGAAGCCGGAGAGCGGGGTGTATGGGGAGCCTGCGCGACCCAACGCAGGGATCGCGCCCGCACCGATGCCTGCATCAACACCCCTGGCCCCTGGTCCTCCTGCGCATCATCAGCTCGCGCCGATTGCTGCCCCGCGACCGTCACTTACGCCATATGCTCCTATCGATCCTCGAGCGGTGGCACCGTTTCCAGGGCCTCATGGTCTTTTGCAGCAAGCGCCGCTGCAGCCGTATCGCACACCTTATCCGGAGTATTACAGTCCTTATGGGGCGCCTGCGCCTGGGCTGCCACCACCGCATCCGCGACCTGCGTGACCTACGCTGGCTTGTATACCTACTTTTCGCTCGTTGTATGTATTATTGTGCTTTTGTTATCCTGTGATTAGTGAGCGTGCTTTCAGCGACAGGCGTCGGGGCTTTTGCGATCCGTGGTTGGTTGTGAATATTGCCAACCAGGTAGGATGTACATTGGGCACATAAAAGGCTGTATTATACAATAATTGCCACACTCTTATTTCAGCTGTTTACTTATCTAGTCGATATATAACATAGTAGATATTTGTATACTTCATGTGGGGGATGACGCCAGGTCACATGATGAGCTACACGTGACGCAACACTTCAACTCCGCGCTGGTTGGCGACCAAGTGAGCTGCTTCATCATCCCATCACCTTTCTTTCACTTCACACCAAGACAGACTCAATCATTATGGGTAAAAAGAGACGCGGTCCGACGCTAGATGAGCTTCTGGCTCGTCCATGGTGCTACTACTGTGAGCGCGACTTTGATGATTTGAAGATTCTCATATCTCACCAAAAGGCCAAGCACTTCAAGTGCGAGCGCTGCGGGCGCCGGCTGAACACAGCAGGAGGTAGGTAATCCAATGCGCTGTGGGTGATACCTACTAACAGCACAGGATTGTCGGTGCACATGAGCCAAGTCCACAAGGAGCAGCTTTCGGCGGTCGACAATGCTCTTCCCAACCGATCCAGCCTCGACGTCGAGATCTTCGGCATGGAGGGCGTCCCGGAAGACATCATCCAGTCGCACAACCAGCGCGTAGCCACCCAGTTCCAACAGGCAGAGGCCGAACGGCAGGCCGTGACGGGCAATCCGCCTCCGGGAACCGGCGTCGGCGGACAGCCAGCAAAGAAGCCTAAGCTGGAGAGCGTGTCGGATCTGAAGAAGCGACTGGCGGAGCACAAGGCTAAGAAGGCGGAAGCACGTACTGGAGGTAGCAGTGGTGAAGCTACCCCAGTGGGTGCAGGACAGACGCCGAACATGGGCGGATTCGTGAGTGTTAATCTCTCATATTGTAGGTAACGCGACTAACAATGATGCAGGGTCAGCCTGCTCCTGCTGCTGCCGCGCCCGCCGCAGCAACCACTACCTCCTCACAATTCTCTTTCCCTCAACCATACGGCACTGCCTCTCCTTATCCTCAAACCGCCAGCCCTGTCTATCCGAACTTCTCCCCCGGACAGCCACAATTCCCTCCCAATGCACAGTACCCTCCGGCGGGATACTCACCGCAGCCCTTCCAGGGCACGCCTGGAGCGTCGTATGGCACCACTCCACCGGCTTTCCCGGCACAACCTCCTCCAACCCATACTCCTCCACAGACGACTGGAGCATTCCCGCCACGGTCGGGCAGCCTTCCTATGCCTCCTGGTCTGCCGCAGCGACCGGCCGTGGCAGCGCCGCCGGTCAACGCGTATCAGATGCAACAGATGCACATGGGCCAGGCGCCAGCTTTGAATGGCGGTGAAACGACGCAAGCGCCGACGGACACGATCTCAACATCGGTGGATGACCTCATCTCGGGAGCCGCGAAGCAAGCGGAGACGACAGCCGACAAGAAGGGCGAGGAGAAGCCAAAGAAGGACAAGTCGAAGGCCGTGCGACTAGTATATTCGGACAACGAGACGAGTCCGGAGGAGAAGATGGCACAGCTGGCAAGGTACGCATTTGTTCCCGAGCAGAAGGGGGAGACGGTGCTGGAGGAAGTGCCGGCATCAGTGGTGACGGGGACGACGCGAGAGATGGATACGGTGGAGGATGCAGCGGATCGGTGAGCCCGTCAGCCAGACGGTATATCGGCTTTACGAGCATGCGCATACTTGGGAAGACAGCGACAGAGACAGGGGATCGGATCAAGCAGCTAAGTTTCAGTTTCTTGCACGATTGGAAATGTCTCTTACAGTGTAGGGCGGGCAAGCGATCGACAGCGAGACGAACCGTAGCAGAAGTGGTGGACAGACAGACAGACGGACGGACAGGACCATGATTTCCAAGAAAAAAGAAAAGAAAAGAAACTGTAAGTTCACATCGAGCAGGTAGGCTACATACAGACTACACCATAATCATACAGCTTATAGCTAGCTATCTGTATACACCGTATATGAACACCATTCATTCTTCATTCATCTCATCCATGAAAATAGTAAACGTATATCATACACCAACTGCCCCCTTCCTCACCACCAGTAAATCAATCAAATCAAACCAATCAATCACCTATCCTCCCCCCCTCTTCCCACCTAAGTAGTATCCCACCTCCACCTCCCCCAACCTCCTCCATATATCATCACCACCATCCATATATATCATCTAATGATTAACAACCGCATTCCCAAAAACCACCGCCCCGACAACCGCCAAAACCCCCAGACCCATGGGCACGCCCTTCCCCGTCTTAATGGCTCTGGGGATCGACGCACCGCCCAGGACAAGGGAAGCCAAGAGACCGATCTCTGCACCGTAGGGCTGGTTCGCGCGCAGACGGAGGTACGAGAGGAGGTAGAGGAAGGAGACGGAGAGGCCGGCGATCAGGGAGGGGAGGGAGCGCGCGCGCAGGTAGCCGGTTATGCCGCCGATGGAGGTGAGGAGGGTGAGGAGGAGGGCTGTTTTGGTGGTTGTGGACTATGTATGATGTTTCTTAGAGTTAGTTTGGGAGTGGGGTTGTGGGATGTAGTTGGGGAAGAGGGAGGGATGTACCATTGTGGTTGTGGTTGTTGTGTAGATAGAAGGATGTGAGTGAGTGAGGTGGAGTGGAGTGAGGGAGTGAAGGTAAGCTAACTAGCTAGGTAGCTATGTATGTATGATGGGGAAACTGGGATGATGGCATGATCTAGGCTAGTTGTAATTTGTGGATGCTGATTGGTTGGTGGGTGTGTACACTACCAACTGAATCTATATCTTACTTCCTTATATAGTAGTCTCTAATGTATACAACAATATTGTTAACAACAACCGTCAATTCATACTATATAATGATCATGTTCATTCTATCATAACACATATATGCATGCATGCCATCATATCCCAAAATCCAATAATAACTTTTACACCACCGCCGCCACCACCACCCCTCTTCTCTTCATTTCATTATATTTCTTTTTACCTCCCCCCAACACTCCCATACCCTCTCTCCCCCTCCCCTTCTTCCTCTCCTCCCTCTTCATCATTCACCTCCTGTGCATCCTGCAACCGATTCTCTTCCCCCATCCACCCCACCGGCACCGCACTCAACATCCCAAACACCCCCAGCACCCACCACGGCACAATCCCCCACCCCCTCTTCACTCCCCACGAGTACGCCCCCCCAATAATCGCCGGTCCCACTGCCCTCCCCACGGCACTCACACTCGTGCCGACCCCATTCAACGTCCCCAAGACGCTCAAGCTACTTGCTGAATTCGTCAACAGGATGGTGGTGCATGGAAAGCCGAAGATCGAGGCGGACAATTTCCCCAACATGAGGCAGAAAATCGCCACGGTGCGCAGCCACGGGACGGGAAGAAGCACTGTGAATGGCGTGAGCAGGTAGATGACCGGGAACACGCTGGCCACGGCTTTTAGGCAGTTGAGTACGCCGAAGGTTTGGGCCGCCCAGGGGAAGATGAGGAATTGGATGAACATGCCGAGGATGCCTTCGAGGGTGTAGTAGATGCCGATAGTTTGGGAGTCTATTTCTTGCGTTTAGTATGGAGGGTGAAAGGGAAAGGGGATGGGACGGAGTAAGGGATCATACCGACGCCGAATCCACCAGTGAATTTGAAGGGGAGTTTCACATCCGGGTTACCCTCGTATTGCTGTTCCGGGCTATGCAGGAAGACAGGGAGGACGGAATCGAAGGCCATAGCGTGCATGGACATGAGGGCGTAAGCGAGGAGAACGAGTCGGGATTGGGGAGTGAAGATCTCGCTCCAGGTTGGTTTGGATTTCTTTGCTGCTGTTGCTGTCGCTGAACGGGTAGTGTTTGGTGGTAGAAGGGATTGTCGTTCTGCATCTGATGCGTGAGACTCTGACTTCTTCTTCCGAGAAGAAGTACACGAGCTAGTCAATGCCTCGCCGACAACCAATCCATAGTCGCGATGATGTTTCTTCGCAGCGAGCGTTTCCTATACCATACCCACATTAGCACATCCCTCTCATTTCCAGATAAAAGGGGAGGATAGATATACATGCAAAAACAACCACCCCGTCGCAATCCCAACAACAAAAAACACCGCGGAAGCAATATTCGGTAACGCAAACGGCCACTTCCTGAGGAACTCTGACCCCCCAAACAACCCCGGATGCTTCTCCGCGGGCCTCGCCAACGCGCCCCCAAACGCCGGACCAAAAATACTCCCGATCGTCCACACCAGCGGCATGATACTAAACGCGCGGGGCTGAAGTTCCTTCTGGGGCACCATTTCCGCAACCATGGTGCGGATGATGCCCACGTTGCCGTTCATGAGCCCGAGCAGGGCGCGGGAGATGACTAGCATGGAGAGGGACGAGGAGAAGCCGAATAGAAGCGAGAAGACCATGGTGCAGGTGAGCCCGACTAGGATGATGGGTTTGCGGCCGAGAGTGTCGGAGAGAGTGCCCCAAGTGACGGCCATGAGGGCCTGCGAGAGAGAGGTCACGGCGGTGGTGATGCCGACCCATTTGGCGATTTCGGATTTGGGGACGCCGACGTGGTCGATCATTTCGGGCTATATCTTTCTGTCAGTTTTCTTCTAGTTCTGCGGTATTTTAATGGGGATGGGATGTACCAGGTAGGGAAGGACGGAGGTCAAGACGACTGTTTTTTTATTTTATATCGCATTAGAATTTACTCAGGAGGAGGGTATGTTGAGTGAACGTACCCGGCTCTGCGAAGCGACATATTGCTATGTGGTATATCGGTCAGTATACAGCTATCAGCTTGGGATAATAACATCTAGGACATACAGAGAATGACCAGCTGCCGAACAGGCAGCCGGGCGGGTTTCTCCAACATGGTGAGCAGACCACTACCAAAATATTTTTTGAAGAGAGGAATGAAAGAAGGAAAAGAAGAAGAAGAAAAAGAGAGAGAGAAAGAAAACAAGAGGAGTAAGACTCAAACCAAGCAGCGCGTGTGACCGGGGCCGACCAACTAATCGGCACTCGGCAGTAGAAAGACAGTCTCAAGACACGCTAAGCAGGCCCTAAAATGGCAAATAGCCTCGCGGTGGGTCGATCGCCGGCGGGGAAAGTAAGCAATTAATCACTTGAAGATAATCGGTAAGCGATAAACATGGCTCGGTTCTACCCTGCTATCTACTTATCACTACTCCGTTATAATCGTAATCTCCCCGTCGTCCTATCCTATCCTATCCTATCCTATCCTATCCTATCCTATCCTATCCTATCCTATCCTATCCTATCCTATCCTATCCTATCCTATCCTATCCTATCCTATCCTATCCTATCCTATCCTATACTCTCCAACTGAAAAGAAAGACTCTGCACATACACCAATAAGACATACATACATCCAGACTCTCCTCCCTTGAACTTCCCTTGCTTAACGGCAGTCACCTGCCATCCCGCCAATCGGCATTCATTTCCAACCACGTCCATCTGACTCACTGCAGTAGCTTCGTCGCAGCCTCAATGCGCTCGATGATGATCGCGCGCCATTTCTAGAACCCCATTAGCCGCTGAAAATTAAATCAGCGAGGTAGGTACTGGGTTACTCACCTGAGAATTCAGCAAATCACCCGCTTCCAAGCTCTCCACCAATCCGGGATACGTCGCGCCTGAGTATCCCGTCCAGATGCCCGGTGCAAACACTACGTGCTTAAACCAGCTGCGCCCGTCCAGGCCCGGCTGGTACAGGAACTGTCGTTCAATGCCCTTGTACTTGTCGTTGACGATGCGGATCTGGAAGTAGAGCCGCACCTTCTTCCACCAGTGGTACCACGGCACATCGTCGCCCAGCTGCGCGCTCAGATCCGCCGCGTAAGCGTCAAATTTCGCGGACACCGCTTGAAACTCCGCGATCGCCGCGTCGAGCGGACCAAAGTCGAACGATGTCCCCTCGGGGAGTTGCTTCGCCGCCGGCTTGATCTTGTCAAGATACTTCTCCAGGCCCAGCGCGTAGTCCGTAGCATTGAAGGCCACCACCGGCGTCTCCACCAGCTTGGCCGCTGCCAGAGCCCAGATCTTGGTGGTTGCTTCATGGTACTTCCAGCCCGGGTCGCCGAACCGGTCCATCCAGTCGAAGCTGTCGTAGTTCGAGTGGTAGTGGTAAACCGGGTCCTTCGGACCGCGGCTGAATCCGAGGTCGTAGCTTGCCACACCCGCAAAGTCCTGGAAGGCCGTAAAGTCACTGCCACTGCCCATGGTGGCAATGTCGCCGTCCCAGAGGTCCCGGACTGTCTGTCCAGGCACAGTCTGGTTGGGCGACTTCACTAGACCAGTGACCTCGTAGATCAGCTTGTTCAGCAGCGGGCTGGCCCTCGGGCGCAAGCTCGTTCCCGACGCCGCTACGTCCACGTTGAGATAGGCAATGTTGGCCTTGGACAACCAGGGCAGATGCTCTTCCACCCACTCGGTAGAACCCAGCAATCCGTACTCTTCACCGTCCCAGCTGGCAAAGACAATGGTTCGGAGCGGCTTCCATCCGGCCTTAAGCGCTTCGCCGAAGCTGCGCACAACTTCGTTGAGAGCGGCAGATCCGCTGTTCGGATCTCCAGCGCCACCGGCAATCCAGGCATCGCGGTGGTTGCCCATGATCACGACCTCGTCCGGGATGGCACCCTTGATAATGCCAATGACGTTCCACAGAGGAGTCGTCACGTACTCCTGTTCATTGTACAGATTGATTTGAACATCATCCGGGGTCGGGCCAATGTAGTACTCGACGCCCTTGCTGCCCAGCTTACCGCCTTGCCAGTATTCGTTGAAGTCAGACGCCTTGGGACCGTGGCCATTCAGGGCCTTTAGCAACGGCACCACCTCCTGGTATGAGATGGGCAGAGAAGGAATCAAGGGGATGGACTCATACGGGTCCTGGCGATCACAGCCCGGCTTGGATGGGTATCCGGGGGTAGTTGGGTCACCCGGTGCGATACCTACTCAGTTTAGCTTCTCCATCCAACAAGCAGGCGGAAGATAGGATAACTTACTCAAAAACTGGGTACTTCCCCTCTGAACAGCACTCGGGTTCCTGGCCGGCCCCTCCGGATACGGAGCATAGCCATTTTCCTCGATAATCTCCCCATCCGACTCGGGATCATCATACAGAATCACTCCAGACATGCCCAATTCCTGCGCTCTCTTGACCTTCAATCCGCGGAAGATGCGTCCATACTTGGCAATAGCAATTTTACCTCCGAGACTGACATTCCGGTCCACGAGGTCCTGGAAATCGTCCACAGTGCCATAGTTCACAAACACATATGGCGCCGTGACATTTCCACTGGCCGAGTAGCCGTGAAACACAGGGACGCGGTTCGGCAATCCGCTGGTATGGTCCTCCTCGAGCACGTCCTCTTCCAAGGTTGCCTCAAACACGACCTCGTCTTTCTTCAGCAATGCCAACCGATGATCGACAGGGTAATTGAGAAAGATATCATATGCTACGATATCGGTCTCCGGGACTCCGAACTCCGCCCAGCGTTCCTTGGTCCAGACTGCCTGGCTGAGGTTCTTCCCGGCCAGGTGCGGACCAGCGGTGTAGTAAGTGCTCCATTCGCGAGCCTTTTCGGCGCTGGGGGTTTCTTTCAAGATGGCTTGGAGTTCAGCGTAGCTCAGGCCGTGGCCTTCAGGCCAGGAGGAGTGGGGGAAGGGGTTTGCCCAGGGGAGGTAGCTCCAGATGGAGCCGTGGGCGCGGGGAAGGAGGGCGGTGGGGGTCAAGAAGAGACAGAGGGAGAGGGTAAGAATGGAGGTGAGAATGATGGTGCAGAAACGGCGGAGAGTGTGGTGTGGGTAGCGACGACGATGGGGACGGATGCCGACCGTGGTGAGGAGAGGCGTGGATTCGCTGGGCATTGTGGAGTAGTGATAGGCATGGGCCTTTTCCCGCATTTCGGGGGGCATGATTGGGATAAGGGATTAGAGGGATAAGAGATAGAATGGAATACTATCCATCTCATGAAAGAGGGGAGATGGAAGTGTGGATGAAGGAAGAGCAAGAGTAAGAGTAAGAGTCAGAGAGTCAGAGAGAGAGAGAGAGAGAGAGATGGAGGTGAGGAGTAACTTACTGCAGTAAGCAGTAGTACTTAGTAGTGACTAGACCAGCTACTTACTTGCAATGGAAGGAAGGGTTTCGGGCAGCTCCGCACGACGTAACCAAGGCTATCAGCTAATCAGCAGTCTCCGCTATCTTATCGCCGGCTCCACCTCGGCCGGACTTGAAGCATCACCAACTGTGGAGTCGTAATGGTGTCAATTCGTCTCCAGCAAGCGCCATATGAGACAATTCTCCCGGCTAAATTACAACACAACACAACAGACTAGCTAACAGAGAGGTATCACTCATCGCCTTATATACAACATAGCATTGGTCACTGGACAGTCCAATGAACAGAGTCCGACCAGTATAAGAATAATAATCCCTTCCAAAACACATCACCACCACTACTCCTACCTGCATCTCACTGCACTTCTGCGTCAGACTCCTCCGGCACTGGCACCTCGTCATTCAAGGCGAAGTTCACCTTCTCCCCGAGATCAATTGTCTCACGGAGAATTTGCCGTGCCGTCTCCTCATTCACTCCCATGTCCTCTTTGACCAGTCGCACCGCCAACTCTGGCACCAGCACCGCCTGCGCATATCCGACGGGCCCGGCCATCTTCACAATCTGATCATCGGCCGCTAACCGACGGAGCTTCCGCCCATATCGCGCTGTGATCGCTTGTAGCCTGTTTCAATTAGCCTACCCGTATAGAGCCATATCAAGTAGATGGAAGGGTGGGGCGTACATTTTCCCAGCCCCTCGAGTCCCGTAATATCCACACGAGATCTTTTCCAATCCGTCTCCGTCCAGCGACAGACGGAAGTTCTTAGCCTGTCCGGTCTTCAACGCCGTATCCAGGCTATTCCGGTAGAACGAGGCACTCTCCGGCACCATGATCGTCTCCAGGTCCGCGAAATGCCGAGTGATTCGTTCATCGAACGTATCCCAGTCAATTTCCGGATACCCCTTCTCCCTCCACTCCTGCTCCGCAGAAGACTGCTTATGAGAGTCACAAAATTGTCGCTGCTCGCGCATGCGCTGTTTCGGTTGCGCCCGGAATCGCAGCAGATCCCCCGGGTCCACGGGCGCTTTGCACCACGGACACACGGCCGGTTCATCTAACAGCGCCGCTTCTCCGTACCGCGAGAGTTCGTCCATGAAGCTAGACGACGCCGTACTAAGGGGCGTGCCGACCGAGGAATCGTCATCATCAAAGACCGCTGCATCCAAGGCAGACGAAGTAGCATGCGAAGAGCTCGAGATCATGTCATTAGGTTCAGGCATCGGAGGAGGCTGCTTGAATTCAGGCTTGGGGCTTGACGCACGCGCCGGGCTTGCCTCGTCCTCAATATCCCTGGGAACCTTGAACTCCTTCCCCTTCTTCTTCGAACCATTACTCATACTCTTGCTTTCATCCTTCGAAGCCCTCGGGGTTCTAACACTCCCCGCCGGTGACTGCGACGAGTTCACAAACGACTTCCTCGACTGATACCCCCGAG